GGGGGGGGGGGGGGGGGGGGGGGGGGGGGGGGGGGGGGGGGGGGGCAGATGCAATCGTGTTCATTGGCGGGGGCTTTATGCTTCAAACAGGGCTGGGGCTGAGAGAAAATGAAAAGCTGGGCTAGCACATGTTTCGGAGTTAAGGCTTGGCGATGAATACGCTCAGGCCGGCGTACGCGGGGGAGAGCAGGCCAAATATAGACTCAATCTAGACTCATTGTTTTGAGTGAGGGTGATAGCTTCACGGGAAGCGGGCGCCTACAACAACCGACACAAGAACTGAAAAAGAAGAGGAAGAGTGGTTAAGGGAGCCTTGTAAGGGGGGCCCGCAGTCAAAACAAGGGGGATGGCGACACTACCCACAAGTAAGACGCCTCCCTTGGCGTGAAACCTTTTCTTGGCGATTATTGTATAGTTTCAAGCCCATGGGCCCAGGCAGCTTGCTGCATCAATTGTTCTCGTGTGCGATTTTCGCCCTGTGAAAAACGACAAACTCAGGGGCCTCAACCAGCTAGGCAGGGTCGGACTTACAGAGGGGTGAGCACGAAGCACTCGCCCCCCCCCCATCCCCATTGCCCTCAACCCCACAACGCGCCTTGTCATCGGTGTCTTCCCGCCCCTTGAGCCTGTCCATGACTTCCTTCGCCTTGGCCACAGGGACGAGGGTCGTCTCGATATTCGCCGCGCCTCGCGGCATCTCTCGGATCTGGCTGATCTGTTTCGCCGCCCAATAGGCGAGCAGGGGGTTATAACGAGCGAGCGGTGAAGGTTTAGCAGCTACTTCGTATATATTATGGCGGATGTAGTCATTAAGTTTCGCGTATGACATAGCACTGCCGTTTGTCCCACTCGGGATGCGGGCACGGGCGCTATAACCCGGCCGCGCCTTGTAAGATGAGGGTATGCCACGACCGAAGAAAGCCACCGGCAGCACTCGGTGGTTGAGCTACCGGCTGGAATTTCTAGACCCCGTTACCTCCACCCGACGGACCCCTCAACCGACTAAATAGCCGCCGGCACCTCCAGCACAGAACGACCCACCTGCATGCCTCAATCTTGACAGGCGGTGACGAGAACTTCGACTCCATCCCCCNCATCCCCCCCCCCCCCGTACCACTCATTGCACAAGCCTTCGGCATGTCCAGTATGAACTGACCCCACCTCCATTCCTCAATCTTGAGAGATGGTAACGGGCGCTTCGAGATCCCACCCGTACCTTTCAATCAACATGCCTTCGGCATGTCGAGCACGAAATGACCCACCTCCATGCCTCAATTTTGAGAGATAATGACAGGCTCTTCGACCCCCCCCCCCCCCCCCCCCCCCCCCCCCCCCCCCCCCCCCCCCCCCCCCCCCCCCCCCCCCCCCCCCCCCCCCCCCC